CTTTCAAGGAAAAATTCTAATTGAATCCATCCTGAATGAGTATTTTTGTCAGGAGAGCCCAGCTTCACAGACCTTTGTTTTCACAAGCAGCTTTTTTTTAGGTAGCCTGTGTCCACGTCCGAACATTGTCTTTAGGACCGACTCACAGACACCTGTATTAAGTGTTAACAAACAGAAATATGCTGTATATGGGAAGGCTTATTTCATGTTCTTTTTGCAGCCAATATCAGCCAGAATATGCTCGCAATAATTCAGGATATATTAGATGGAGTGTTTCTCTGTGTTGCAGGATTTTTAAACAATATTAATCTGCTCCTATTGTGTTATGTCTTAATTTACCTCATATGTGTTTGCACACACGGGTAAATCCTGTCAATCCCATGTTTTAACTAATTTCACATGGTTTTCATTACGTGTTTATAATTTTTATGTTTATATAATTGCTTGAACCATTGATACAATGGTTGTTTTTGCAAAGTATGTTGTTCAAGCCGATTAAGAAAAATGAATCTGCCAAGTCCAATGTATGTTTTTGTACCAGTCAACAAATGTAAACAGCTGAAGATCATATAACAAGGTCTCTTAAAAAAATATCTAAATAAAACAAGAAGATGAGATTTACTATGAGGGCATTCTGGTTGACATTAGCTAGGAAAAGAATAAATGAATAATTTGGTTCAAACCCAGTTTTGGATGTCTGAGAAAACAATGGACAATCCTTTTTTCAGTGTGTTTGTTTTAAGCTGAATGAATTATAAGTGTTTTATCTAATACAGGAAATTGACTTAAGAATTGTATTTTTGAGTATGCAGATGTGTCTGTAGAAGAACACATACACATTTGCATCTCCTTTTGCCGTGTTTTCTTAAATGTAAGATCAAGGGGATTTGTTCCGTACTAAAGCAACATAAATTGTGGAACTGTAAAGTCAGGATTGGGGTTGTCACAAATTTTTATGTCACATGTTTGCTACTGATCTTAAAATGGGGACAAATGATTCATGTTAACTTTTTCTCCTGCTCTTTGAAATTCTCTTTAGGAGTAGTCTCTTCACAATGGTAGCTTTGCTCCTTCTTGTCTGATTCTTAAATATAAAAAAATAAGTATTTTGATTCATTTTGTAAATACCGCTGTAAAGAAAATAAGAAATTTAATGTTGTCTTTTAAATACTTTTCATTCTAATATGAATGTTGTTATATTGTACTTAGAAACTGTACCTTTAATATTACCTTTATTAAAAGTGCATTGGACACATCGATTTGAGATGTGTTTGATGTGCTGTTACCCCATAATAAAAATGACAGCTTGTAATGGGCTCTTTCTGTAATGTCTCTTTCCTTGGTGTGAGTCTGTCTTGTTTTAACTTTATTTGTCAAGTACACAAGCCAACAGTTAAATTGACACCAATTTTGACTCGACACAAGCAAAAATAATCACTTTTTCCACATCCTGTATTGTATCCTGTCCATATGTGTTAGTCATAATAAAATAATATGAGTGGAAGTGTATTTATAAAGTACATTAATTCATCAGTGTTTATATGAATGTATGTTGGGCACAGCACTTCATTATTACATTACATCATTGTAATTTAGCAGACGCTCTTATCCAGAGAAGTTCACATAAAGTTACATTTTTTAAATGTTATCCATTTATACAGTTGGATATTTACAGAGGCATTTGTGGGTGAGGTAGGTACCTTGCCCAAGGGTACAGCAGCAGTGACCCAGCAGGGAATCGAAACGGCAAAGTTACAAGCCCTTCTCCTTACCACTATGCTACACTGCTCCACAATTTATAATGTCCCTGCCTGCAGGTAGAAATGCAGGCAGAACTGACCATTGACCGCTCTCTGGTTCCAATCCATGGCAGAATGCCACTTGAAGGGATGCCAGGAGGTGGGCAGGATGCTATGCAACCTGGCGTGAAACTGCTCTCAGGTCATAAAGATCACATTGCACCAGCTGATCACCTTGACATGTAATTGAGTGGTCACTAAATTCTTGGGGAATAGTTTTCCACAGATTATGATTTCCTTCACCAAGTCTGTAATTTTGTCACATCAGATTATTTGTTTCTTTATACATTTGTTGTTTAATGCAAGTCAAAATAGAAATAGTCATTTAATTTGGAAAGACATGGTGTGGTGCAAAGTTTGTGTTTATTGCAGTTTGTGACTTACAAACATAGCAACATACAGAGGTGTGTCATCATTGAACAGAAATAATGTACATCATGAAAATGAGACGCCATGTTTCCTACTGGAAGTAATGCATTTGACACAGTCATAAACATGACTCCTGAAACTCAGGTGCAGTTACAGAGCTGGCCTCAAGGGGGAGCTATAGGGAGCTAAGAGATATACATCCCTCTCTGTCAGATGTGGGACAACTGCAGCCCTTACCTCAGTCCAGAAAGCTATTTTTCTTTCAAGGAAAAATTCTGATTGAACCCATCCTGAACAAGGTTTTGTCAGGAGAGCCCAGCTTCACAGTGCTTGTTTTCACAAGCACTGCCAATGAAATTATATACTCTCCTTTTATACTCTAAATCGAACCCCAGATTGTGCAAATCTTTTTCCTGAGTGAGTAAAATTATTTGCTGCACAGTTGATTGGAATCAAGAATTTTTTCTGTTGATTTCTGAGAATGCCTACCCCCAAAACAAAAGTGTTTAGAAAACGGGTTTCTAAAATACTTAATACTCATAAGGAACCACATCCCACATGTAAAAAGATGAAGCTTAATTAAAACCTGTCACTCATCTCTCCTTTTCGTCAAGTCTGTGATGAAACTTATGGGCTCCAATCTTATTTCATAGAATGCTCTGCTCATTGCAAATCAAATAAGGTGGTAAACATAATGTTTTTTTTTTTTTTTTTTTTTTTTATGAAATATCTCTTTTTCACTCTTGAAGACCTTTTCATGTTGACAGCTCAAATGACTTCTTGTTGATAAAATGCTATCACGTAAAAGCCAAAAACCCCTACAAGAATTTTCTTAGGAAGATCTTGAACGGATGGACTATGACACACTTGGACCAGACCATGAGAAGTGCACACACAACACGCTGCTCTTTTCATTTCTTTAATTGCCACAGCGCCTCTGTTATTTATGAAATATTCAGGTCATTATTTGGGATTGTGATGGCCAAAGTTGGTGATAGGACCTGTGTGCCTATTCCAAGACATTAAAGGGGAAGTGGTTTAAGTTCCAAAGGCCCACCTCAAGGTTTATTTGGGTTATATAGAATATAGACCTATAGAAAGTAATTTTATTGGTTGAAGGGTGCCAGGGCCATGGCAGATAATAATTCTTTATGTTTGGTCTGTTATTTGCTTTTTGTTTTTGTCAAGCGGCCACACTATGTCTCTATGCGATTGCACTCTTACACTTGCAGATACAAGTGGCCCTCTCATGAAATTTAGTATTAAATAATATTTAATGACATTTATACTATATATATATATATATTTATATAATTTTCTTGAACATATTTTATGCATGTGTGGTACAGTCTTATCCTGTGGACTAATTCATGTAGTTTGTATATAATCCACTAGATGGTGCAAAAGCATCTGACACAAGAAAGGCAAGACTCTCAGCAAATAGTGTTGAAATTAGAGAAGGTGAGAAAATTAATCCAAAATATGCATTATATGTTGTGAGCTACTCATTATTTCAGAGCTGGCAGGACATCAGTTGAAATGTGAATGCAGAGAAGTATCAATCTGTAGGAATGGGTTACAGAATGTACAAAACCACGAGAAGCATTTAAAGTCATCCTGTGTAAAGGCAGGTACTCAGCTAATGGACTGAAATGATCATAATTCAAATGATCTGCAATTTGCCTTAGCAATAATGTCTCAGACCTGCCTCATTCAGCTTTCTGTGCTCTGTTTGAGCTGATGAGTCACCCACTCCTCTTTGTGCATATATTAACTTGACTTGGACCATGGTTGTGTGTGTGTGTGTGTGTGTGTGTGTGTGTGCGTGTGTGTGTGTGTGTGTTGGTGGGAGGAGGCATGATCAGAGCCCACAGATAGCTGTGATAAACCACTGAATTAGACACACAGCTGGAACCCTTTAACTCAACCACTTTCCGTTAAGCACACAAACATCTGCTGCCTTCTACTAAGGCCCCATAACTGCAGCTGATTCCATATTATGTTCTTTTCCCATCTCTTTCTTTCTCTCTTATCTGCAGTCTGCGCTGCAGATCTAATTAGTCTACATTCTAGGTCCTCTGATTAATTAGCTCGCTAATCCTAATGATGTTTTCCCCAAGGGTGATCAGTGCTGCTCTCTCACAGAGTATGGATATGATACAGTTTTGTGGTGCTTAAAACCGACAATTTGCACTAATAACAGTAGGTCATAGACAGATAAGGGATAAAAATGGTAGTAGCCCATAGACATGTGTGTGTGAGTCTGTGTGGTGCCACCTTGTAATGAGGCTGTGACTTGCATTCTTCTATAGGCTGCTGTCATTGGACAAGGTGCTAAGATAATTCTTTTGAGTATCATGTGTACTATGTATAACTGTGTTGTGTGTATATGTGCCATAATGTCATGTAAAAGACTGCTATCATTGTGTGGGAGAGTAGTATTGTAATCAGTCATCCTCCTGTGTGTGTGTGTTGTCAGTGAGTTGTGTTATGTTATAGTGTTGTAGTACAGCACTGCTGGTCAGCTCCATAATATTGTCATATCATCATGTATTGGGGTGCAGGAGCACTCCATAAAGTTGGACTTGCTTAGTTAGTAAATGTGCTGTCCAGCCTCTCTGGCTGGCAAAGGGCAGTTGTGTCCTTGCATCTCTTTGCAATATGTTGTCCAAATCAAACCTTTCCCTGGGTTTGACTTTGATTACATTACATTTTACATTATTGGCATTTAGCAGACGCTCTTATCCAGAGTGACTTACAGCATTATCCATTTATACAGCAGGATATTTTACTGAGGCAATTGTAGGCTAAGCACCTTGCCCGAGGGAACAGCAGCAGTGCCCCACTGGGGAATCGAACCAGTAACCTTTCGGTCACAAGTCGTGCTCCTTAACCACTATGCTACACTGCCACCCTGATTGTCTATAAAATGTGTATATTTTTGTCAGATGTAAAATGAGAAGGACCTGACCTTGCAAAACAAAAGTTGTCATTTTTATGCATAGGTGGGTCACTGCTCTTGTACATCTGAGTGAGGGAATGTGAATTGCTGCAGTAGAAATCTAGGTAATACGAAAAAATGTTTGCTGTTGCAGTCGCCCTGATTCAGGCCATCAGCTGGCAAGGTTAGCACTATTCTTCAGGCAACAACCCTGGGTCCCTGTAAGATTTGCTATGTTTTGATATAGATAGATCAATATTTCTGCAGGAAACATCTGTGTTGTTGATGGCCATATTTCCACAGAAACACCTACTTGTGATGGAATGAAAGCAGAAGAGAGGTGGGGCCTTGGTTTAAAAATGTGACTTGGCTAATCTTAACTTCATTGTGCAACATCCCCCACTACCTCTGAGAAAATATCAGGCTTCCTGTCTAACTTTGGTTCTTTTAAATTAAAGAGCCTTTTTACTGTGTTCAACAGAATTAACCTTAAACAACTTGAATGCACTTGATAAAAGTGTCATACTTTACATATCTTAGCGACCACTAGAACAGCCACAGCCAAGTGCAAATACACTATAAGTTATCATTAACGTAACTGACTTGATTTCAATATTTATCCGTGCTTACACAACATTTTTTTCCTTTTATTTCAGGGATTACCACATTCATAATTTTGCCTGTGTGGTGAAAAAGGTAACACTGGATTAGATGTGTTTCTCAAAACTAAAGAGAAAACACACAATTGCCAAAATGAATCTCGGCTCTCTATGGTATTACATATTCACTACAGCAGTGAAGCCTCATAAATCCTGGATTTCTTCTGGGTACTTTCAGTTCTAACCTCAAATGTTGTAAAAAGGAGATGCGGATCCAAGATCAGCATTTCAGGGAGGAATCAATCTGTAACCCCTCACCTGATTTAGGCGTGGCTTTGTTCCTCCAGATGTCCACAATAAAGCCAGACTCTGACATTTCAGCACTGAGGCTGTGGTCTGCTTCCAGCTCACCCTCTCAGATATCTGAATGACAGATTGTCTCATCTACCCAAGACTGTCCTTCTAGAAAGTAGAGTTTCTGCAGCGTGGGAAGAGGAGTTCAGGCAAGAGTTAAGCAAGCCATTGGAATGTGTTCTCTGATAAAAGAATGCCAACTGAACGCTGCATTCCTTCGCTTTATAAAAAAGCAAGGCATAATCACCATGTGTTCTGCAGTGGACCCTGCTATAAAGTCTGAACCTCTCCTGGCCCTCAGCTGCTTCCCCTGTGACTCACACTGCCACGTGACTGTTTGGAGCCTGTTTGCTATGTGGCCATACCACCCCCTGTTTCGCTTGTGAAAAGCAAACAAAATTGCTGCAGGAGCATCTAAGATCATTTCCGTTTCAGTATTGGTCAGTGTGTGAATTGCCTGGAAGCAACAATCTGTGTACAGAGAGAATTAGTGTAACATTGTACGGTATAATCTCTGTATAATATATAGGAGCTTATGGTATCTATTATCTGTGCAATATATAGGAGATTATGGTATCTATTACCTGTGCAATATATATGATCTTAGGGTATTATATTACCTTTTCATCTGAACACAAGTTGCACAACCCTGCATCCTGTAAATCATACAGCTAAGGATACCTCATTTTTTCTCTCTCAGTATCCCAGGAGCCAAGCTCAGTATGAACTGAACATAAAGCTGCACTTTTAAACACTTGTTCTCTTACAGAGCATAGAGTTTTTGTGTACCCATGCTTGCAACCTTGCCTTCTTTAAATGGCTTCAGAGTGATCCATTTTTTGGGAGGTTGGGGGCAGGGGGGGGGGGAATTCTGAGTTTACAGAATTGTTGCAGGAAATAACCTAGTATATGATGTAACACTCTGAGCCTGTAAAGAATGCCCCTTCATTAAAAATGAATCATCAAGATGTGTTTTGGTTAAATGTGTAACACCTGTCAACAAGACTTGATAGACATCTAAGCTGTTGTGACAGATTTGTGTGTGTGTCTAGTGACATGACCTTTCTTTGATTAAACTCTGCCAAGGTGTATTCAAAAGTGTATTTAGCAGGTATACTCCCACAGTTTCTGAAAGTCAGAGGGTTGTTTTCAATACCTGTTCAACAGTGCGGCATTGGACACTGGCACACAGCAACCCCTTATTCACTGCAATGCCTTTGTGCCATGTTGTTGTTTGTTTTTTTAATCATTCAGCCATTTTCTGTCTCTGATAAGACTTGAACGAGGAAGATATTCTTGCAAAAAACACTGTGTCCATTTGAACTCCTTTCAACACATTTTCTCTTTAAGTGGGTTTATTATGCCTGCATGCTGATGTCTAAAAGAGAAATCAAAGATCTCTATTCCTTGTTCAAGACTTTGTTACCTCCATGAGTCATTTTACCATTTGCGTTTCTTCTTCTTCTCCTTTTTTTACATGACACACACAGTGGTGAGGAAATGAGAGAAGCTTTCAGTTTTCAAAAATTCAGACCCCCCAGTGCTCCTCTTTCTCTTTAGAAGCCAGCTTAGTTGTTAGGCAAATGTGGGCGTGTCCAGAACATGGGAGTGCCACAATTGAGCTTTGAGCTGCAAGACTGCACCCTGGCCGCCCATGTTGAAATGAAAAACAGTTTTAGCAAGATTAAAGAAAAAGAAAAGATTAAAAAAACAAAAAACACACAGCGAGAAATGCAAAATTATTTATTTGCTTGGCAGACAGTCTTATTCAAAGTGATTAGTGGAGCAGTTTACATTATGTAAATGTATGTTTGCTGAAACAATTCAGGATACATACCTTGCTTGAGGTCGATAAGATACAGTGCACTGCAGGTACACATAAAAATTTGGCATTGTGAAACGGTGTCCATGTGTAGCAGGTAGACACCCTGCAGTCTCTGATAAAGAAATACCCCAGTGAAGGAGTTGGGTCTCATAATTTGGGATTGTGATTGTCTAAGAGTGCCTGTTCCCTGCTATTGTAATTAGTCCTGCATGTTGACTGACCCAAGTCAAGGTTTAGTTGATTTAAATAAAATGCCAAAAAATTATTTGATTGGTTGCCTGGGAGGGCGTCAGGGCCTCAGCAGATAATTCCTGATATTTTGTCAGTTATTTTGGTATTTTTTGTGTTTTTGTGAAATGGCCACACTGCGCTATTATGCGATTGCAATTTGAATAGATAACCTCTGGGTTCTGTGACTGATTGTCTTTTATTTTACCATGGGGTGATTTTGCCTTATTTAATTTATACCCTGTTAAGTTCCCATTCTTTATGGTTTTCCCTCAGCTTCATGCTTTCATCTATCCTTTTTAATTCACCACTTGAAGCCTCTGCTCTCCTGGTGTGAAAAGACTCTTTTTGAATGGAATTTGAAGAATAAAATGTGGAAAGACTACATTGTTGTCCAGAGGATCGTTTGTTTGCACATGAGATAATCTCACACCAGTTTCTTGTCCTTGAGGGTGGAGAGCAAAGAGTTTCCTCCCACCTAGTGTAGCCATCAACACACCAGTCATTTCATCCTCAAAGAAAGCTAAAACTCCTGTCAGTTCCATATAATAGCATATCTGATGATTTCATACTCTGTTTCAATGCATAGTGTGGAGGTGGTCCGATTATAATCACATTGACCTTACTTACTCCCCTTATATGCATGCTACGGCTAATTGCATAATATCACAACAGCCCCAAACGCGTGCAACTATCAGGAAGTTGACAGTGCCGTGATATTGCATGTGAGATGCATACTGAAGTATTGCTGTCTCATCAAAAATTCTTTCTCATGTTGGAGGAACATAAGGACAAAAGTTTTTCAAATGTTGCATCAGCTACCATGGAGGCTATCGGGCCCTGTGGCGGCATGTTGCATCCTTCTTTAAAGAGGGAGACGTGTTACGTAACCACAGGGGAAGGCTGGGTAAAAGGGCTGCCCACGGCCACTGGGGGAGGGGGGGATGAAAGTTTGCCGCCCGTCTGTGGAAATCAATGTGAAAACAACTGCAGACATTCCGCGCTTGAGCCGGGATCGTTATTCCCGCCTGATGCGAAAAGCTCGTTATTTCTGATCTGACTGTCGGCTCGCCTTCTCCCCTGCCCAGGCCACGTTCACATCAGCTGCACGAAAAGCTCTCCTTAAAGAGGACAAGGACACGCTTCCTGGCACTTCACATGAGCGCTACATGGGGGTGTGTGGGGGTGTCTCCTGGCCAAACCCATTTCTTGTCAGCTGCCCCTCCAAATTATCCCAAACCTAGCCCCCAACAACTATAGCTATATGCAACTACTCTCTATCTCACACATCTGATTCATAACAGAGAGGCAAAAGTCATGAATAATGATTACAGGTGAGTAGTATTTGCAGCCAGTAGTGGCTAAAACATAAAAAAGCTCTCACAGGGCAAATCTTTCAACGGTCGCCATGAATTCTCATGTTTTTGTGATTTTTTTTCCGTCTTGCATCCGCAAGTGCCAATTAATCTGAAAATCCCCAGCCCCATGCACCATTTCCCATGATCCCATTGCCTTTGGTTTCATCATTCGCTCAGCCGAATTCATTTGTCTTTCTGCATTGATTGACGAATCAGCTACATTTAGCTGATAATTATTAACATTGACAGCGCTTTAACTTATCTTTGAAGTCTTCCTTTAGCGAGGTGTGCGACCATTCTCACCTGGTTCAGGTGGGAGCAGTGCTTTCACCTGAGAAGACCGGCCCTGCTGAGGGTTTGTGAAACATCTCCTTACAGCAGTGCAAGCATTACAAGCATGTCTGTGACTACCGCTCCCTCACAGATGAGACTTACACGTTTTTCAGTCCCAACTTCTCTGGCTGTGCAGGGGTGGCTTCAGTCAGGCCTCTAAGCCACAGCATGTTTTTGTTCATCTTGGACATGTATGCTCTCAGTCTGTTGTTTGTGTTTGTTAAACAATCAATCACCCTTTCACAAGTCCTAGGAAACAGGCATTCCTCCCCG